TTTGCGCCGTAAGAGACCTCCTGTTTAACATGGTTAATGATAATAGCTTACACCAACAGATACTAGAATTGGCACATCTTATCTGTTATAACTCTTTTTTCCAATTCAACGGGATCACGTACGGCCAAGGAAGAGGCGTCCCCATGGGTAGCCCCATCGCAGGGGACCTATGCGAAATAGTGGTCAGACAATTAGAAGATATAGTCATCCCTCAATACTCACCTAACATCTTACTATATAAACGATACGTGGATGATATTCTCATCTTATGGAGGATTGAGCCGGATGTTTCAAGGTTCGTTGATTCGTTCAATGATAATCCATACGGCCTGACCTTAGAGATCGATCAAGCTCACGCTTCTGAAGCCCATTTTCTCGACATCAACATCAAGTTCGAACAAACAACTACCCGTACAGAAGTGTACCGGAAACCAGGGGCTGAGCATCTATACATTCCAATAGGATCGTGCGATCCACCGAACTATAAAATGGCAGCCTTCAACGCCTTAATTAGGAGAGCATACTCGCATTCATCGGATCGGATATCCCTACATGCCGAACTAAGACATATTGAACAAATAGCCAACGAACATGGTTATCCCAAGATCGTACGTAAATTGATCCGCAAATGGCGCTGCCGAGAAGTAGCCCTTAACCAAGCACCCAAGGAAGTTCCATCTAACATCATCCCGGTTACATACAATCCGTACCTGAAATCAATTTACAACACAATAGCGAAGAAAAAGAATATTCGCATCGCGTATAGAAGATGCGCCACAATTTTTGACATTTTACGGAACGGGAAAGATACCCCAAACAAAGAACGACGCCCAGGGGTATATACCATCCCAATGATTGATCATAGATGGAACAGAAGCCTGATATACGTAGGATCCACTAAGCGCTCCTTAGAGGTGAGAATTAAAGAACACATGGCGGATATTCTACATGCAAGGCAAAACACCGCTCTTGCCGTCTATGCCTCGGATACGGAAATAGAACCGTTATTCAGCCAGGCCAAGGTAATCCGCACTACAAAGTACACACACCACCTTAGATGGCTAGAGGCCCTGTACATATGTATGGCTACGCTTAAAGATGACAATTGCATTAACAACAAAGACGAGATCATCCTGTCAACTGCATGGCAGGTGCTCGTTGACAAAAAGTTACGTTAATTTAGAACCAGCGAAGGGGCGCATGCGTCAATGACGCCAGCGATACGTACGAGAAAATTCGTAATGATGTTCTTTTTCAATCAAATTTGAATGGCGTTCGCTTGGACATGTTACCTGAGGAAGAACTTAAAGTTCGAAAGCACTAGTAATACTTCGTTTACAGAGAAGCACACCGGAAACAGGTTCATTGTACGTTGTTTTTTGATTAATAACTGATTATAATATCTTCGGGTATTTTGGGATTGCAGAATGGATATATTTATTTTTGCTTTATAATTCAAATATAAAATTTTACTTTTTTTGAAGTGACTGATTTGTTTATATAATCTTTAATAACTGTTTTTTCCATTATTTAGTTTCTACTAACTATTGATGTTTTTATAAATTAATATCTATAAATCAGTTTGAGTTGACAACACTATAAATTAATCAAAAATGTTAGCAGTAATATTGAGATTTTTTAGTGATTTCTAATACAGTCAAACCCTTTTAATACAAAGTTGAAAGGACTTAAAATAGGCACTTTATATTAATGAGGTTTGTATTAAGCAAATTACAAAAAATTAATGGTCATATCATCGAATGACAAAAGCCAAATTTTCTTCTAGTTATTTTATGTTTTATCTCTTTTGGATATGTTTAAAAATAAATAACTAAATAAATAAAACAAACTTGCATGTTGATTTAAACGTATACTTTATTAAGATACAGTGGCTTGAAGAAAGAATTAATGGTTGTTTCTCAACATTGATTAGTGTTAGTAAAGGAATGATTAAAGCTACTGAACATAAGACTGACCTAGATACCAGATTGAATCCAGGCATTGGATACATGCAAAACTTTATAAATTTAAAAATAACTGATTTGATTAGATTTCAATGAAAACAGTTTGTTTTTAATTTTAAAATCATGAACTAATTATAGTATAATTAAACCTTGGGTTTCAAATGCCCTGCTTTTCAAACAATTCACTTCACAAACAAAATTTTGAACTAATTTGTCCCAGTTGCTGTACAATAATTTGGTTGCCGATCAAGCTACTTGGCAAGAACTAGCCATGAATTAGAGAGAGACAGATGGTCAACTCCCTACACTTCCTATGTTAAAGAAAGTTGATGGCCCAACCAATCAATGACAGGACTACTAATTCAGAAGTTAGTGGTGCTGAGATTGCCTCATGTCATTAGATGTCACAACACAAATCATCAATGATATTACTATTTAAATTAGATTTCAATGTGCATGCAGGAAATATGCAATTTCTGTTTTTGGTATATGTTGCAGTTTAATCTAAATCAAATTAATAAAGATTGCATTAATTGACATTTACATAATATAAATGGCATCCAAGAATTTGTGTTTAAATATGCTTAAGTTAAATTAAATAACAAAAATTTATTAGTATACAGTAAAACTTCTCTAACTTGAAGTTTCAAGGGGCAGGAGAAAACTTTGAGTTACGGAAAATTCAAATTAGAGAACAATAGAATAAAAAATGCTGATTCTGAATAGATTTGTACTTTTACTTCTCTTGCATTATATAAAGAATCTTTGATAGTTTTTTTTTTTGTTTTAAACAGCCTGCGCAACACTTTTCAGTAAAAATGTTCAATGTAAACTAATGGAATTGAACAGTTTCGCACATACATCTTGTTAAGATAAAGTGAGAAGACCTCTTGCTTTGGACTGGAGCATTGTTTGAAAATTGGTGTTGGAGAGTACATACAACTAATTGTTTGAAAATTTCATGAAAATCTGATAATTAGGATCACTTTGGATAGAATAAATATTAAAATTTGAGTCAGGGAATTTGAAAGTATCTTAAATCAGTGTCGGGGACTGTGAAAAATTTTGTCTTTGAGAAAATTCAAGTTGAAGATGTTAAATCTCTATTTTATTCCATTGAAACCTACCAAGTGCTTTGTTTTCTTCAAGTTAAAGAAATATTCAAATTACAGACATTTGAGTTAGAGAAGTTTTACTGTAATATCATATATTATAATATTAATTAGTAATATTTATTAATATAACATGTATTTCATGCATAAAAATGCAATTAAAACTCAAAAGATAAAAAAAAAGCTTTGGTTTGGGGGTCCAAGAATGGATTAATCCATTTTATATTGTTTCTTATGAGAAAATTTGTTTAGGTTTTTTGAACAACTTTTAGGAACGAATTATACGAGGTTTGACTGTACTATCAAGTTGTCTGACACCACTCAGTTTTTTCTTGAAAGAACTGACAAACTTAAAATATATGTTGTGGATTTTAAATCTTTTTTTGTGGGCAAGTATATGATCATTATAGAAAGTAAAAGACAAGAGACTAACTTTCCTGTTTCTCTTCTAAGACTAGTTTATTTATATAAGGAGGTAAACATATTTTATATTGTTCTTACTGGCATGAAAAACATACAAGTGCATCAGCCATGTATTTTTGTGGAAAGAGAGAGAGAGAGCATTTCTGAAGAGAGCAAAGTTCTGAAGGTGAAAAGAAGTTGATAAACACCTTAGTTCTTCAGAGTGGTCCCAAAAGAATTGTTTCTATTACACATTTGGCTGACAGACAGCTTAAGTTGGAGGAATTAAGATTGTTGGGAAGTTTAAGTGAAAGCAATTTTTATCTGCTTTCCCTCAGTGATTTAAACTAGATACTTTTTTTGTTAGGAAATGATTCAGTGGATGCTGAGGACTTGATTTAATCATTGAGGACATAACGCATCTTGCTTATTTCTCTCTTGAACTTAACTCTTTGGGTTAGTCCAGCAGTTGTAGAGACAATTCTTTCATCTGAAAGTTTGAACACAATCTTCTTTTTTGTCTCTCCATTTGATTCAGATTTCTCAAAGATCCTCCCTTTGGATACTGCCTGCTAGTCTTTGTTGGTGGACAGTTGAATTATCTCTCATTTTGATTGGATTCTTGAACTATCACTATCACTGAAAGTTTATGGAGATCATCTGGGAATTGATCCCTCTTTCTAAGGAAGTTTTCTTATTTACCTCTGATTATGTGTATTGTTTTGACACTATCAGTAGGTTTGATAACCAACATATCTAATTTTTGTGACTATCCCTTCTGTGAGATTTCCTTTCTTTTCTTTCCTTTCTCCTGCTGGATCCTCCTCTTTTTTTACTTCTTTTGTTTTCAATTTGGACCATGAACTCCTCTATACTAGAAGAAATTCAAGCCCCCAAATGAAAACACTGAATTTTTTCAATTGAAAAATGCTTCAGAAATTAAAAGACATCATCTATTTTTTTTTGTGGTTAAAAAGTTCTGTTTAATGTGATATAATTTTTCCTTTTGTCAAAATACTAAAGTTCTATTGTTCAACTATGTGTTACAGGTCTCCTAACAAGTGCAAATTCCTTCATGTTTGCATGTCAGAGAATTTCAATTTTTTTTTAATTGAGTTGGGCCAAGCTCACAATACTGATTCCAAGTGCTTTTGGACTTCAGCACAAGATAAGCTCTATTCCTTGAAGAATTAATATTTGTTTTATTCTTTGTTACAGTAAAGCAGGAACATTATTCATAATTCACATTCTAATTGTTTATGTTGAAAATGAATAAAGGTGATCTGAGTATAATCAAATTTTGGATGTAATTATTCAAAATAAAATAGTTTGTTTTTTAAATTAAACAGTTGAAGAAACTAAATCATCTTTTTTGTAAAAATCATTAAAAAAAAATACTTACTGTCAGCCATTTTAATTAAAATATTAGTGTTTTATTTTCTGAATCCATTTTTGAACTGATGATATTTTGAAAATTTGAAACACTTTTCATATAACCTGATTTTTAATCTAAATTTTTTATTGTTATCCTTGTTCAAATATAAANTGTCCGCTAGTGATGTGGCGCTACAATATTTGGCTATGTCTTGGCTACTTTAATAGTATTTTTACGTGTTTTAGCTGTCAATATGGCTCGACCATGAAAGGGAGCCAGTATTTAAACGAGGCTTAATTTTCTAATTTTTAACAATACAATAACGACGATTATTATTTAAAAAAAAAATTTATTAGGCTTAACATTGATGAAAATTCACTGCAAAGTTGGTAAATAGCGATATACTAATATACTAATTACATGGGATATACTAATAATGTATTTTTTTCATTGTTTTCGGTAATCAATTTTTTCAGTTATCCGATCAACCTGAGTCCCCAATTGAGTCAGATAATCGATGCTCTACTGTAATTTGAATAAATGATGAGAAAATCAGTTAATATTTATAAGACCATTTTATTACAAACTGGAAAATATATGTATTTTGTAGAAATATATTTGATACTGGTAATAATTGGTGTCTTTCAAATATATATTCTTTAGCAGTTTATAAATTGTTTTGCATACATTATGTAAGTTATTATAAGACATGACTTTATTCATTTTTTAAGCATTCTTAAAATTTCATTTTTTCAGATTATGCAATATTAATATTCAAGCATTGTTTGGAGAGAAGGCGAACGATAAATATTCCAAAGTATTTGCTCTTTCTCCATGATAGCAGAACGTCTTCGGGGTCCTCCTCCTGCCCTTAGGTTGGGCCCTTCTGCTGGTTCTAGTCCAGAAACTATTTCACAAGCAGCTCCTGTTCGTAGGTCACCTGCACCTGTTACTTCATTGACATCATCATCGTCATCATCACAAGCTCCACCACCACCTCGTCGACCAACAGTTCTTCACGGGAGATCATGTTTAAATGTTTCCAGAACTGAATATGTTTTAGGAACACAAGAACCATTAATAGTGTCATGGGATATCAAAGAAGAAATTTCACCTTCAGATTGGATTGGACTGTACAGAACAGGTAATAAAAAATTGCTAATAATTATTAAATGTTGATAAATGTTAATGATTTTTTCAAATCTCTAAGAAATTTTAAAAAATAAATTAAACAGCTTTAACGTTGTAAACATTTTAAAACTCTTTAAAATTTATTCATATTTAAATAACTGATTATAATATCGTCGGGTATTTTGGGATTGCAGAATGGATATATTTATTTTTGCTTTATAATTCAAATATAAAATTTTACTTTTTTTGAAGTGACTGATTTGTTTATATAATCTTTAATAACTGTTTTTTCCATTATTTAGTTTCTACTAACTATTGATGTTTTTATAAATTAATATCTATAAATCAGTTTGAGTTGACAACACTATAAATTAATCAAAAATGTTAGCAGTAATATTGAGATTTTTTAGTGATTTCTAATACAGTCAAACCCTTTTAATACAAAGTTGAAAGGACTTAAAATAGGCACTTTATATTAATGAGGTTTGTATTAAGCAAATTACAAAAAATTAATGGTCATATCATCGAATGACAAAAGCCAAATTTTCTTCTAGTTATTTTATGTTTTATCTCTTTTGGATATGTTTAAAAATAAATAACTAAATAAATAAAACAAACTTGCATGTTGATTTAAACGTATACTTTATTAAGATACAGTGGCTTGAAGAAAGAATTAATGGTTGTTTCTCAACATTGATTAGTGTTAGTAAAGGAATGATTAAAGCTACTGAACATAAGACTGACCTAGATACCAGATTGAATCCAGGCATTGGATACATGCAAAACTTTATAAATTTAAAAATAACTGATTTGATTAGATTTCAATGAAAACAGTTTGTTTTTAATTTTAAAATCATGAACTAATTATAGTATAATTAAACCTTGGGTTTCAAATGCCCTGCTTTTCAAACAATTCACTTCACAAACAAAATTTTGAACTAATTTGTCCCAGTTGCTGTACAATAATTTGGTTGCCGATCAAGCTACTTGGCAAGAACTAGCCATGAATTAGAGAGAGACAGATGGTCAACTCCCTACACTTCCTATGTTAAAGAAAGTTGATGGCCCAACCAATCAATGACAGGACTACTAATTCAGAAGTTAGTGGTGCTGAGATTGCCTCATGTCATTAGATGTCACAACACAAATCATCAATGATATTACTATTTAAATTAGATTTCAATGTGCATGCAGGAAATATGCAATTTCTGTTTTTGGTATATGTTGCAGTTTAATCTAAATCAAATTAATAAAGATTGCATTAATTGACATTTACATAATATAAATGACATCCAAGAATTTGTTTTTAAATATGCTTAAGTTAAATTAAATAACAAAAATTTATTAGTATACAGTAAAACTTCTCTAACTTGAAGTTTCAAGGGGCAGGAGAAAACTTTGAGTTACAGAAAATTCAAATTAGAGAACAATAGAATAAAAAATGCTGATTCTGAATAGATTTGTACTTTTACCTCTCTTGCATTATATAAAGAATCTTTGATAGTTTTTTTTTTGTTTTAAACAGCCTGTGCAACACCTTTCAGTAAAAATGTTCAATGTAAACTAATGGAATTGAACAGTTTCGCACATACATCTTGTTAAGATAAAGTGAGAACACCTCTTGCTTTGGACAGGAGCATTGTTTGAAAATTGGTGTTGGAGAGTACATACAACTAATTGTTTGAAAATTTCATGAAAATCTGATAATTAGGATCACTTTGGATAGAATAAATATTAAAATTTGAGTCAGGGAATTTGAAAGTATCTTAAATCAGTGTCGGGGACTGTGAAAAATTTTGTCTTGGAGAAAATTCAAGTTGAAGATGTTAAATCTCTATGCTATTCCATTGAAACCTACCAAGTGCTTTGTTTTCTTCAAGTTAAAGAAATATTCAAATTACAGACATTTGAGTTAGAGAAGTTTTACTGTAATATCATATATTATAATATTAATTAGTAATATTTATTAATATAACATGTATTTCATGCATAAAAATGCAATATAAACTCAAAAGATTAAAAAAAAAGCTTTGGTTTGGGGGTCCAAGAATGGATTAATCCATTTTATATTGTTTCTTATGAGAAAATTTGTTTAGGTTTTTTGAACAACTTTTAGGAACGAATTATACGAGGTTTGACTGTACTATCAAGTTGTCTGACACCACTCAGTTTTTTCTTGAAAGAACTGACAAACTTAAAATATATGTTGTGGATTTTAAATCTTTTTTTGTGGGCAAGTATATGATCATTATAGAAAGTAAAAGACAAGAGACTAACTTTCCTGTTTCTCTTCTAAGACTAGTTTATTTATATAAGGAGGTAAACATATTTTATATTGTTCTTACTGGCATGAAAAACATACAAGTGCATCAGCCATGTATTTTTGTGGAAAGAGAGAGAGAGAGCATTTCTGAAGAGAGCAAAGTTCTGAAGGTGAAAAGAAGTTGATAAACACCTTAGTTCTTCAGAGTGGTCCCAAAAGAATTGTTTCTATTACACATTTGGCTGACAGACAGCTTAAGTTGGAGGAATTAAGATTGTTGGGAAGTTTAAGTGAAAGCAATTTTTATCTGCTTTCCCTCAGTGATTTAAACTAGATACTTTTTTTGTTAGGAAATGATTCAGTGGATGCTGAGGACTTGATTTAATCATTGAGGACATAACGCATCTTGCTTATTTCTCTCTTGAACTTAACTCTTTGGGTTAGTCCAGCAGTTGTAGAGACAATTCTTTCATCTGAAAGTTTGAACACAATCTTCTTTTTTGTCTCTCCATTTGATTCAGATTTCTCAAAGATCCTCCCTTTGGATACTGCCTGCTAGTCTTTGTTGGTGGACAGTTGAATTATCTCTCATTTTGATTGGATTCTTGAACTATCACTATCACTGAAAGTTTATGGAGATCATCTGGGAATTGATCCCTCTTTCTAAGGAAGTTTTCTTATTTACCTCTGATTATGTGTATTGTTTTGACACTATCAGTAGGTTTGATAACCAACATATCTAATTTTTGTGACTATCCCTTCTGTGAGATTTCCTTTCTTTTCTTTCCTTTCTCCTGCTGGATCCTCCTCTTTTTTTACTTCTTTTGTTTTCAATTTGGACCATGAACTCCTCTATACTAGAAGAAATTCAAGCCCCCAAATGAAAACACTGAATTTTTTCAATTGAAAAATGCTTCAGAAATTAAAAGAC